TGTACGCAGGAGCGAACAGTATATGAATCTCGTCTAGATGCACTGGAAAATGGTAGCTTAAGCGGATATCAACGCAAGAAAATTATTGTACCATCAACAGCTTGCCTTTGGGTAATAATATCCTACATCCTTACCGGCACCGTTATGTTTGCGAATTGGGAAAAATGGTCCTTTCTCAACTCCTTCTACTTCTGCATGACTTCCCTGTGTAAAATTGGGTTTGGAGATTTCGTACCTGGAGCGTCATTGATCACTGCAGCTGATATTGATGCGGCAGCAGTGAAAATAAAAGAAGATGCTTCTGCCGATCCTGAAGAAATTTTTAATATGCAATTAATAACCGATCAAAATTCCAAATTAGCAATCAATTTCTTTTATATGCTTATCGGCATGGGCCTGGTATCAATGTGCTACAATTTGATGCGTGAGGCGGTACGCATGAAAATAAATGAGATCAAAGAGGATACGAAATTGTGCCTGGAAGATACGCGTATACGTTTTATGGGCTGCTGTGGGACGCGTGAATACTATGACGACGTTTACTACTAAAATATACCATTTAAAGACATACGATAATATTTATTTTGTGTGTTGAGTGGATGTAAAATCGACGAGTAAAGAGGAATGTGAATTTGTAATAATGTTTGGATTTTTATCAACAAGAGGTACTTAAGTGGTCAAAGCCATTGACCACTAATATGAAATTAAATGTGTGTACAAATATAAATATTTACAATTGTGCGTAATTGCGGGAATGTTTTCATAATCGTTGTGCTTTTGAATCGTTAATGTTTTTTTTTGCGTTAAACAAAATGTATATGGCAACTGGGTACAAATTCGGCAAAAAGGTGAGGATCGATTTTTCAACAATACTTTAAGTATAAATCCACAACTCAACATCTGCGTGTTGTTTTTCCTATATTAGACCTTGCCATACTTAATATAATATTATTAGCATAAAGAGATTGATATCCTAAAAAATAGCCGGTGGCGAAAAAAATTAAACAATACAGATTGGCGGTATTCAATGCAGACATTCATGGCTAAATAAAAGAAGAGCTCATTAAGAAAAATAAAATAGTATGTAGATATGTAAATGTTCCATTCAATCTTAAGCGTAGAACAATTATAAAATAAAATATGTATGTATATTGCAAACATTAGGCGAATATAACACCATGTTACAAAATCAAGAAAATTGCACGAATTTTTTAAGCGACAGATTGCAGGTCCTAAGCGTAGTCGAGTGTTGTTTTTGAAAATCCATTAAACATCTTGAAAATCTCCACTAATTCATAAACTATTCTTAGCTAAGGTTTTGCTAGCAGTTTTAATTTAAAATATGGGTTTAGTTAAGAATTTTAAAATAAATAATAAGGTAAGCAATTTTGTTTTTAACTTTTTTTAATGTATTTTTTCTGATAAGCTGAACTATAAAAAAAAACCCACTTAAGCAAACATTTTTTAGTTGTTTAGCATAAAATTTTTTAAGTTGAATAACTCAGTCTGTTTTAACCCGATTTTTTATTAAACGTTCTCTTTGAATCAATTCAGGGCTAGTATGGTTGCTTTATGAAATAGTGCTTAAAACATCGCCAACGTTGAAAAAAGTGAACAAAATTGTGTGACTTGGCGAGCACACACATTAGGACGGGTCAATTTGTATGTCAGAAATTGATTATAGACCCATGATTTCTTCGGCAAATTTGCTTAGAATTACACGTAGAATC